CATAAAAAAGAAATGAAGTAAATAGTTGTTATATTTGTTTAATTACTACGGATCCCCTGAAGCCCAAAAAAGTAAAAAAAAATTTAAAAAAAGGAACTTTACCTTGTGTGAACAAGTTATTATCATATGTCTTTGTAACATAACAATGAGTAAGGTCTTTCTACCTGCTCTTTTGTAATGTTAACAGACAAAGAGTAAGGTCTTTTACCTGCTTTTTGTAAAGTGTCTTGAGATAACACTTGTTATGAGTTGACGCTATACAAAATAAATTGAATTGAATTGAATTGAATTTGTACCCAGAATTTTCTCTTGTGCATGCAATATTTGTTTAAGCACAAAAAAGATAATGATAGATAGATGATAGATGATAGATAGATAGATAGATAGATAGATGGATAGGTAGGTAGATGGATGGATGGATGGATAGATACTTTATTGATCAGGAGGGAAATTAAAATGATGCTGTATGCAAAGGATACAAGTTATTATAAAATACCTTACCTTGTGCAGGTAATACCTTATATAGGCCTATTACCTGCACAAATACAATTTTCACTCTTTGTGACTTCAGGGACTCCGTAAAATATGTGACTGTATGTAACGATATAATTCTGGATGTTGAGTTTTTATTTCTCGCTTTAACAGAGCAATTTAAAGTGGCATCAGAATTTTTTTTTTTAGAAATGTACCACCAAGTCTAAGTCCACCAAGTCTAAGTCCACCAAGTCGTTACCATGACTACCGTCTGAGCAGCCGGTTCAAGAAGACGCACCGACAGTTGGGACACTTAACGGTATAACTGCCTCCATAAAAAAGGTGAAAACGAAAAATAAGTTATTAATACGGAATGAGGCGACTCGTGTGTGATAAGGAACAAAAAAAGGCAATGTAAGACTTTTTTTTCTTTTTGTAAGCATAACCGTTTCTAGCTTAAATGTATTCTAGCAGGAGAGTCTACTAAATTGAGACAGTCACGTGTGTTCATGTTAATTATGAAATGGTAAAAAAAAAATGTAAATCTTTATCTTCAAAATGTTCAACTTTAGAAACCTAAGCTCTTTAAGGTAACGCACATTTTTTGTCAAAGAGCTATCATTTGAAGACAGTATGATATGTAGGAGGTGGTTTCAAGAAGATAAACATATAAAGCCACTTTAGTCACAACATGTTTTAACAGTGTCCCTGTTAGATCCAACATGCTCAGATGTTGATCATATACTTATCTATTTTGCTCGGGGTAAGTTCTACTTTAACATGCTCTTCAATTGATAGTAGAAGAGGCAGGATTTGTACCACTTTATTTTTGTATGAAGGTTTGTATTAGAATATTTTATTATGAATTAATATGAGAGCAGTGCTCTCACTTTTGGTGGCAGCCACACTGACTCTGTTCAAAAACACTTTGATGCTTTTTAAATAAAAGATCCAACCATGCACTTTTGAATATGAACTACAAGCTACAAACTACTATTTCAAAACACGATTTTTATAGAATAATAGAGGAATTAGAGTAAGTTACTCTTGGAAAAGTAAGTTGAGTAGCCATGGTGTTAGTAGTTGCTTCAAAAACTTTTCCAGGTCATACTCAGAGATGATGTGAGACAAACACTAGATGGTGCTGTTTGATCACCAATATTATCTTCTGTCCTTCATCGTAAACTATAAAACCAGCACAATTGAACTGTGAACCAGCAATTTATAAACTTTTCCATGTGGCTCTTAATTTAATTTAATGAAACTAAAAGTTAATTCTGATTGTATATTTGGTGATCTGATAGAGTTGCCTTTTCATCCAACTGGCAAGACGTTTTTTACAACACTGCTCAGAGCAAATAGCAAAGAACGAGATGTTGTTGGCTTTAAAAAAAAAAAGAAGACTTTTTAGCCAATATCAGCAAATTAATTCTGAAATAGTTATCTAGATTATTATCTCGCTGGTAGTGTGGAGAATTGTTTTGAGATCAGTTCTTCGATAACCTGCTGTCAAAATATGACATGCATTGCTCATGAATTAAAATCAGTAAAATAAACCAGCTATACTTAATTTATCCGTGTGTTTCCCTTCAGGGGTCAGTGAGCTGTGAAGACCAAGACCCCAGCAGACAGCAGGTATGTGTCCTTTTGATTCACTCATTTACATGGTACAACATTTTTATTTGACATTTTTTACATATATAAACCATTAAAGAGCCTTCACATGATAAAAAAAATAAAATGATGCAAGTTATCTGATAACCCGACAAAGGCCATTTTAAAGTTATTTATTGTTCTGTATTTTATACAAGTAAATTAAAAAAAAAAATTATTTTGATACATGTGATACAGGTCACTGATCGTTCAACTGGCTGCTTAGTTATTTTGTCTAGCACATCTGAAATCTACTTTGAAGCTGTAAACACTGTGTAAACACCTGATGGCAGGTGACCTGAGCATTTTACCAGCCCCAGCCAATATTTACCCTGCATTTTGCAGGCGGCAGGTGCTAATTTCATTGCCTGTTGTGACTCCACATGGTATCATTTTTTATATCTGACTGTCACTGGCTCAGAAATATTGCCCTCCCAGCCATGTCTTCTGAGCTCTATGATCCAAACTGATTTTTAAGCCACTATTGAGCAAATATACTGTCGACTCACAAAGTACATGATAGTAACACAGACATATTTACACATCCATCTGATACTGAACATTCATAAAGAGCTGTGTACCTGTCCAACCAACAAATACGAGTATATTATTCACTGTCCATTGAGCTCTGCTTTGGTCTTCGTCATATCTTTTTGGACATGTCCTAGTCTTGAGTCACTAGATGGTCCACCTTACCAGCCAGTTGCTAACTGCGTCCCTCTGCTGTTTGGTGTTGAGCAGGTGATCATCATTGCTTTTATTGCTACCTGCTGCAGCTGCAAACAGGTCGATGAGAGCATTGACAGTGATTTCAGAAATTATGCATGCTGTAAAACCATAATTATGATCTTAAAGATGCCAAAACTCTTTGTAGGTTTAGGGGTAACTGTAAAACCACGTGATAATAACCTATTCATCCTTTACCTAGAAGTCTTATTCGTAGAAGGTTGATGTAGCCGGTTTAAGCTGACAGTGGGCGAGTGTGAAGACAGACAACCATTCATAATCATATTCACACCTACAGGCAGTGTGAAGAGGCCGCAATTAACTTAATGTGTATTTTCATGGCCTGTGGGAGGAAGCCTGACTGTCCAGAAAGAAAAACCTTTGAGGAATGGGCGTGGAGAACAAGCAAAACTCCACTCAGAATTGACCCAGTTAGCCTGCAGGTTTAAACCAGGAATCAACTCGCTGTGAGACAACCGTGCAAACCACATTTCGATGATTGATTTAAAATTATTTGTATTACAAAACTTTCCAGACTGTGCCTTGTCCTCCCGTTTGAAATGTGTCATCTCTGAACTAAGGCTTGCACAGAGTTTGTTTGTCCTATCAGTAAACTAGGTTATAGTTGTTTTCTTATCAAGTGAGCTGAGGTGAGCAGAATCAGTGCTGTGAGGATTTTACAATCGAGAAGTAATAGGAGGAAATAATTTGGATTGAAAAACATGATTTAATAGATCAAGGAATGACCATAAGTCTGTTTGCTGATTTAAAAAATGCAAACTGCATGACGTTATGTTTGCACAGAACATGTGACAGTCTTGTTTTTCAGTCCTACCCCTTATTGCTATGCTTCTATAATCAATACAGCTGTCAACACTTGTTGCATAACAGCTTACGAGTGTGAACAATTTAGTGAATGTCAATTTTAAAACACAAGACTGTGTAGAATGAGGCTTCATTGGTTGTATCAAGTCATTTCTATACAGAGAATTTAGAAGAATGACAGGCCTACTTAATAGTCAGTTAAGTAGGCAGTTAATAGGCAGTCAAAAACAAATAATCTGTAGATGGTGCAAATCATTTCTTAATTATTTTGATGATTTCAGATTCAGCAGTTTGCCTTTGAACAACAGAGCTAGTCATACTGACAACGAACAGGGTTTGAGACAGCTGTCACGAGTTAGTGAGGCCACCTCATAGTGTTGAGATGGGTTTAACTGACTTCAGACTGCAAGAAGAAGGGAATGTGAGTGTGTTGCATCAAATCAGAAACTTTGCAGCCAGGTAAAACAGAAACAACAACTATAATAATAATAATATCGAGTATTATTTGCCTCATTTAGCAAATAAAACAGTCCGTGTCACTTTTATGTAACTCCCAATTTCTTGATTTACTGTTATTGATATTCAGATGCCAAAGTATGGACAAATTATCGACTTGTTTGATGGTGTGGCCAAAAATCCCATCTGCCCCTATGGACATGGACATCACTTAGTTTTACAGAAATGAGACAAGTGAGAGCTGGCAGGAGCAGTTTGAGGCCAACTTTAGCCCAAGGGAGGCTCGAAGTAATGTTTCTCAACGTCTGCATGGGCCCTCCCCCTTTGCCTCTTGTTTTTATAAAGCTTAAATATCGCCATGATAGGGATTCGTGCAGTGTCTTTCTGAGTTCATTATGCATAAAAACTGTCTGTTGTATAGAAATGTCTTTCCGAAGAACATTTTTTTATGAATTCTTAATGATTTTTGAGAAAGTTAGGTCATGATATAATGTGGTTTAGAAACATTTGTTTGAGCACAGCTATATTTTGCATTTCTGTCGCTCAGTTTTCACCGCTGTTCAGGTCATTGGCTCAAAAACAGAGGTGCCATTGTTTGTAATCTGTAAAATGATTTTGTTCTGGACTTCTTGTCCTAAACTTGGCAAGCCAAAAGGAAAGCGCGTGTGTTACCTTCACTGCTTACATGAAAAACTGAAGAAACGACAACTCTTTGAGCCCTGCACTGTTCTGTCTTTGAGCTGTTTGGAAGAGAGGGAGGGGAGACGCAGGGAGGAGAAGGAGGAGGAGGAGGAGGAGGAGGGAGGTGGAGAAAGGTTGGAGGGGAACCACTGGCAAAGAAGTTGTTTCATACTGAGCTGTTTGTATTCACTGAGAGTCACTGCACCTGTGTTTCAGAACTGGTTACTCACAGTCCAACTGGCTATTTGTCAACGCTGTCATGTCTGCAGTTCGTGCAGCAATCAGCAGGAGAGAAGCAGAAGTGAACCTGCTAGACTCAAAACAACAATAACTCAGAGCAAAGGATTTGTGTTTGGTGAGTTCCTGCCTCCATCTTGAGACGAAAGAAATCTTTGAACAACAAACTTACCTACCTGGAATGAAGGGCTGACAGCAAGCAGACTGGTGTGGACAAAGGTGAGTCACTCACAAACAGCTGACGTTACTGACGTTTGTTTGGTCCCAACCAGGATCAGTAGAAAAGTTTCCCCATTTTGATCTTGCCATAATTTGCTCCAGTAAACTTTGCACGACTGTAACAAACATACAGGGTGTCTAACATGAGCTGCTATTCCTCTCTTTGTGTATGTGTGTATGCACCGGCGCGTGTTACTTTGTTGAACTTTATCATGAGTTGGCTGCTCTGTGGTTCTTCTTTGGATCAGACTAAGCTGCTCAGGTTCTCTCATATAGTATGTCTTGTTTTCTTTTGTTCAGACATCTCACATGTCCAGAAATAAACACACACACACACACACACACACACACACACACACACACACACACACACACTCTTCCACACACAGGAAGCGACAGGACAGTGTGATGTCTTCACTCCACAGCCAACAGGATTAACTCCTCCTAGTTTAGATAACAGCAGTCCTCTCGAAAACCAATCGCCTCTCGCACCCTAACTCAATTTCGGACAGAATATCATTAAGTCTGTAGTTTTTGAGGTAGATTATCTCAGACCGTTTGCTTTTAAAGTTGCAGTACTTTCTAAAGCTGCAGTTATATAACAGTAAACCTGTACGTATAGCTCAGTTGGTAGAGCAGGCATCGAATGTACAGAAGCTACAGTCCTCATCGCACTGATCCACACATATTACTGTGAACTTTTCTGTCCATGCCTTAAAAAGCAAAAAAATCCCCAAACTTTCTCTCTCAGCATGTGTCATAGGGCTGCAGTAACAGATTATTTTAGTCTGGCGATTAATCGAGCAATCAGATAAGAAATATTGCAAGGTCGGCCATTTTGTTTTTTTCATTAAATCACTTGCTTTATTCAAGAGAAATAATAATATATAAAAGAGATTATAAGAAGGTCTCTTTATTGACCATAAACTTAATTTCCCTTTTTGATAAACACGGGATGATCTTATCTTGTCTTAGTAGGCCTATATAAATACCATAAAAACTCGGCGTTTCTTATCCATGCTTGTTTGTTTTGATTTGGGACTGCCTACATATGTAGTTTTGCTTCTACTGCCCCCTATTGGCTTTATTGGGAAATGCATCATTGGCAATGGGTCTTTCCAAACTACCATCACAGCTTCGCGGCTGTATCGATACTATAAAATCTGTATCGGTTCACATATTGGCAAAGAGCCAATGAAGATATATTGCCTTATCAATGTTTGAGCACAGGCCTAGAGCCACCCCAGCCAAATTATTCTGGATTCGTCCCTGCTTGTTGAACCAAAGCACTTGCAAGCACATCAGGATTTCTGAAATCAGGATACAATGTTCACATGCACAAATACAGAAACGGGATACATAAAAAAACAGATCAAAACCGGGATACTCAAGTCAATGTTAAAGCACTTAATGGTACAGAGGCTGTTTAGGAATCGCCTCAGCCCTAATGTGCACGTTTTGTCATTTTGATGCTGTCAGATGACGCTCAAGCCAGCCATCAGCTACCTTTAGATTATTCAGTTTTAATGTAGGGGTGAAAAAGAAAGGTTTTTGGATTCAGTGGGGACATGTTAGAAACACACAGCAGATGTACATAGTCAGAGTTATAGCTGAATGAACTCTTTGATTTTTTTAAATGTAACAATTTAATTAAGTAAGTAATGTTATTTCACAGTAATTTTATCTTGCAGGCCTTATTGACAGCATAAATGGATCTTGATAGACAAGGCCAGAATTGATCACACTGACAGTTGTTCAAATTTAAATCAGCATCCTTGGTTTTCTGTGTTTTGGCTGTATAAAAGTTACTCTGACCTAAACACAGCTGTAGAGTCGGTTCACCAACAGTAATTTTTGGACTAAACTGTTCCGAGGACTCTCTGAGTGGAAAAGCCCACATGGGAACTCCCTAGAGAGCCACATGTGTTTTTTGTTTGGATTTGGTTTTGATATATAAGGCAAAGAAAATAAAGATGGAGAGACGTAGTAGTTGAAGCTGTAAGCATGTCATGTGTGGAAGGTTGCATGATTATTGCTAAAAGCAGAGAGTGAATTCAGACTCCACTGACGGGCCATTGGTTTGTTTTTTAGTCAAACTTGTAAGCCTACTTTTTTAATCTGCTACAAAGGTTTTAAAGATGTCGTTTTCTGTCGCTGCCTTGGTCCATGTAATGAACAGAGACACTCACGTTAGGACAAGTCATCATACAAAGCTTTCAATGAAGTTCCTGCAGTAAAACAAAACAACTGAGTAAAAGTTATTTTGGTCTAAATACACTTTTCCAGACTCAATAGTGTCTAGAGATAACATAGAGCTGTGGAATATGATATCTGAACATTAATACATTTCCAAATGGAGATGTGATTCACAAAAAGACCTGTCAGTCAAGCGATCTGTCCTTCCGTCATTCAGGTCTTGTTCTTATTTGGGACTGGTGAGTCCATGGTGGTGTCGATATGCAGAGTAGGTGACTTTTGATATTCCTCTCCGTAGAAACTCTCTCCAGCTCCTAAATCCTGAGTTTTCCCAGACTGTATGAGATATATTATCCCTCCAGAAGGTTCTGGGTCTTTCATGTGCTCCCTTACCAGATGGACTTGTTCTTAAAAGTTCCAAATGGTGGCTCACAGGAGGAATCTTTTTTTGTGTTGCCCATCACCTCACGAGGTCTTAGGTGATTTGTGGGAGCAGTGGCTTTACTCTTTGTCTTTAAGGTCAGATCCCTCTACTGTATGATAAAGTACAAGGCCAGCATCAGTGGGCCAGTCTCGACACTAAAGGACTACCTGAGCAGACAGGTTGAGGGACAGAGAAAGAGACCTGTACTCTAAATGAGCAGGGTCATTCTATTCTGTCCGGCTGGGCTGTCCGGTTTATTGTGTCAAAAATAGACCTCATCAGTTTTCATCATCATTTCAACATTTAAATGAACTAATTATCAAAATTATAAAACACAATGTTAGTTGAAAAGAGGTCCTGGACATTGAAACCTCATTTCTGTCTGTATTCAACCAATTATCAAAGCCTCGATGAAAACGAACTCTGAGTTGACCGTAGTCAATACGAATGGGCAAAACAGACCGGAGGAAGAGAAAAATGTTTACCCACGAGTTAATGATTCAAGTATAATTTACATTACGTTTTTGACCAGCACATACATCAACAGTTCAGGAGCTTTCAGTAGCAGTTCCTGCTTCCTTATGTAGCAGTCTTTGACATAACATTCAGTGTTTCCACGGCAACGATAAAAGTCCCGTTACAACTGTAAAATGAATTATTTCTCCGGCTTTGTCGTAATGTTGGAAATATCTGAGGTAATGTAAGTACTCAACAATAAAATATAAATAACATAGGTTTAGTCAATTTGTCATTAATTTGGATATTTTAGTGAAGAAAATGTTCATATTGTATCTTAAAAAAAATGTAATAGAGGCACTGCAAATAAGTAACAGCAAAAATGATTTACAAAAAAGTTGTGGGGGTTGTTTTGAAGAGAAGGGCATGTTTGAGGCTCTGCGTGTTTCACATTCTTAGCTGCTGACCTCTGTGGAAAATAACAACAGCCGGGCTTGAAGGTCATGCTGCAGTGGCCAGTGGCTGAGGCTGAGTGGTTAGTGGTACCACACTTGATGTTTGTGAGCCTATTCTGCTCTGCATTATAGGATCTGTTGAGGAGAAAATTGCACAATGTTGAGGAAAATGCATACCACACACAGTCACCTACTAAGTAAACACTATATTTTCCATATTGCTCCGCTGAGTCTTCAAGTCTGGCAGTGTTGAAGGACACCTTTTCCCTTTAAATTGTCTATCTTGCATGTTGGCACTGACAGTGTTGGCTATCGTGTTTTGATATCGAGATATTGGAGCGTATTGTCATTAGGAAGCTCAAACTCCATATGTGGCATTTTCAGGGTGGACAGATATTGTATGGAATGAAGAAGGTGCTCACTTCAGGAGGAGCATTTATTATTACAAGCAAAATGACAGTAAAGAAATCAGGCCAAACACTTAAAGGTAATATGAATTTGTGTAAAGTAAAGGACGTAGTAAACCATCATAAGCCTGTGTAAAGCTGAGACAGCAGCTAAAGAACAATTTAAAACAAACAGCATTTCAGATTTATCCCTAGACCAAACATAGACCAAAGCATTAGTAGAAGTGAATACTTCAGCGTGGGCTGATTGCGTATGAAGGAAAAAACTCTTTCATAGAAGGTTTTGTGTGTATTCCAATATCGTGATTAAGCGTTCATGGGAAATAGTGAAAGTTTATTACTTTCCTCCACTTTCTCTGCTCATATCCTCTCCTAAAACACCTAATAATGTCCACATTTTCAAAAGCATAACTGTCACATTTGACTGTTGGTTTGGTTGTGGAATTTATTTTGTTCCTAGATCTGGAAAATGAAAATAACAATCAAATGGTTTTTGAACATAATATTCAAGGATAAGTTACAAGCATATATTTTAAGTTGTGTCTGTGTCAAAACCATACTGTACTTTAAATATGAAGCCTGAGTGACGTCAGCCATCTGTTACTGCAGGGGGCTCCGCAGGCTCATCGGCAGCAGCCGCCATGTTGGAAATCCTGTCTCAGCCTAACTTTCAGTCAACCTGACGACAGGCTGAGAGCTGGAGCTGAGGCGGGTTCTAAGACTAAACCGTTACATCACGCCCACCTGTCAATCATGTCAGCTAAGCGCCTAACCATGGATAACACATATCTTTCATAAAATCAAAACGGACCCGTTTAAAAATGAGGACAATAACTAATCAGACCTATTTTGTTTTTTGTACCAGGTTGTAGAAATGTTAATTTCTGATGTAAAAACAGGCTTTTTGGGCTGTGGCGTGTATTTGAATTACCGTGTTCCTGGAGCCAGCCTCAAGCGGACACTCGACTAACTGCAGGATTTTGCACTACTGCATTTGCTTAATTTCTCAAGAACAGAGGTTGCTGCTTGGTCAAAACAGAAAGTGAATGACGCTATTTTCAT